GTGGGAGGAAAAAGGTGGACGGTCACAGGCACTGACCTAAATCCCCTGATAAGGCCTGCAGACATATGTTTTTCATTTTTAATTTGTTACCAATGTTCAAAACCAAAGCCCAAATTTTTTTCATAATATTCCAAATACCTGACAGTTTTCTTGAAGAAAAAAAAAAATCAGAGACACGGTAACATCCTCTGTTTCTTTAGGGCCACAGTCAGCTCTTCAGTTTTCCCCTCCCCTCCCCTGCTTCATCGTCCTGGTTACCCGCCTGCCCCACTTGCCTCTGCACTTTGACCCCTGGCGCAGGATTTGCTGTTAAAACTTCACGTGTGGGTTCTGGCTCAGCGGGGGACCCCGCTCGGAGCTTCCTGCGAGGAGAGGCGGGGGCCTGGCAAGGTTACGGAGCTCCCTGGGATGGAGGCTGGCTTCCTCGCTGCCCCGTGACTGCGAGAGCCACTCACCGCCTGTGCGGACTCGCTGCTCGGCCGCCCTCGGACTTGCTGATGGAAAACCGCTTGTTTCCATGAACAGCCCTGCCCAGCAAGGGTTCTAATTGATATAATGCATCGTACTGGGCACCCAGCACCCAGCACCCGTGACGCTGGCCCCCTGCAGGAAAGGAACCCTCCCCCGTCGCAATGGGGGCCTCTCCCTGCCCACAGTCCCCCCGGAAGGGACCGTGGTTATTGCTTGTGAAATGGTCCCAGCCTGGCCCCTGCGTGCCCTCCCCGACCATCATCAGCGGCTGCTCCAGCGCCTGCCTATAAATATTTAAATGCTGGTTCAGCTTTCAGGCCGAGCACGTCAGCTGCGAAGATCAAGCTTTTTGACCTTTTGTCAATTTACTCAGTGAAATATGACTCTCCTGGTCCCTTTTTTCAAACGGTTGTTTCCTTTTTTTCATAGTTGAAATGACTGCATCTTCTTCCAGCGCCGAGTAGAGAAGATGCAGGACTTTCGGCACCTCCGGTAAATGTATAAACATGAATAGGTTTCCGTTCCGGCCCACCCCTCAGAGCTGCGGGTTCAGAGCCAGAGGCCTCGGGCGTGGAAGCCGGACTCGGGGACCCTCGAGGTCGAACGTAAGCCCCGCGGCTGTGCGGGTCGCCCCGGGTGCCACGGCTTCCATCCCGAGCTGGCTGCTGCTAGTGCCGGGAGGTCAGTGCAGACGTGGAGAGAGGAGGGTGGGAGAAGCCAGGCGCCTCGGGGCTCAGCCCCTACAGCAGACACTCAAGACGTTCAGTCCATCGAGTTTGAAGTGGGGCTGGGCCCGTCCAGCTGCCTGGTCTGATTGTGAGGGTCCCCAGCGCAGGCCTGTTGAGAGCAAGATACACTATATGCCAAAGGGGAGGCTCAGGAAACACGGGGCGGCTGCTTCAGGGTAACGTCGGAGGTTGGGACTCACACACTTTGTGAGGGACCATTAAAGCGGAGCGTTTGAACGCGGGGACTCAGAGAAGACGAAAGCGGGCTTTCCCGTTCGTCCCCGCTGCCCCCGCCAGACCCTCCGCACAAGCTGGTTCGTCCGGGTCCCCTCGGAATAAATCGCAGGTTGGTGTCGCCGACTTTTCCCAGCCAGTGGAGGTCCCTCTGTGCCCCTGGTCCCCGAGCAGCATCAGTGTGGGTATTCGAGGGTCCAGCTCCGTGGTCTCGCTCGTTTAAGTGGGAGGCTCTCCCTGCGTCCAGGCCGGGCCTGGTTGGGTCGAGCGCCTGCAGCGAGTGTACTTGGGGCGGGGTGGCCGCTTCCCTGTTCTGGCCGCGTTTGTCTCATTCCTGCGGCTGCTGACGTCTCCGGGTACAGGCGGCAGGCTCCTGGGGGCCGGGTCTTGGCGCCATCGCAGGAGAGAATGCCTGGACCAGTGCAGCGCATTAAAAAGCGGCAACGCATCTATTTACAGAGCATTATAGAAACGTGTGGATGTTACATATTTGCAAAGTGAAAAACAGAATCGCAGGACTCTTTAGACATTAAGGGCAACAAAGGAGCCGGTGTGCTCAGGTCAGCAAGCTTTTCTGGAAAGGGCCAGACAGTCGCGGTGCTCGCTTGGAAGGCTGCCCCGTCTCCATGGCAACTACTCACCTTTGCTGCAGCCCAGGGAAGCCGCTGCGGGTCACATGGCCACAAGTGGGCGCAGCTGGGTGCCAATAAAACTTTATTTAACACAGGTGGAGGCGCCGTCGTTTCCCGACTCCCGCTACACAGCGGTGCCCAAGACCGCTACGAAGCTGTGGTCGGAGGAAACCATGTAGCTTTAGAAAGTCTAAAAGCTGTCTGTCGATAGGCTCAACAGTAAATTAAGTATTGTGGAAACAACACATTGCTGAACTTGAAGACATGGAAATAGCAACTATCCAAACTGTAGCACAGAGATTTAAAAAAAAGGGTTCCTCCTCTGCTCCCCCCAAGCAATCTTCACGACAAAGCAATCTATCAAAAGGTCTAATATACTTACGATCGAAGACCCGGAAGGAAAAGAGAGGCAGGGCAAAAACGCCAGAACCGAGAACTTTTTTCACAAGAGGTCTGCGCTGCGTAATGGTAAAGAAACTCACTCAGGCTGAAGGGAACCTATCCCAGTTAGGAAGGTAATGTCGACAAAGAGACTGAAAGTGCCAGACACGGACTTGCTCTTGCCCAAGGCAGCTTCCCCGCCAGGTGCTCTCGGGCAGGCGCCCTCTGTCGCAGGGGTGGGGAACGTTTTTTCTGCCAGGGGCGATTTGGGTATTTATAACGTCGCTCTTGGGACATACAGAATTGCCAACTGAAGAATTGGCGATGAGAAAAGCTCCTAGATTTATTGAATTTCGAGTCCCACCTGCGGTTGCCTTGGCAGGGCCAGGCCGAATGACTTCATCGCCTCTCATCGAAAACTTCACGCAGCAGCGGCAGAGAGCGTATCCCCCAGTGCACAGGGCACGCTCACCAAGATAAACTACGTTCCGGGCCATCGGAACCTTTCAATGCAAAAAAAAATCGAAATGTACAGTGTACGTTCTTTCATACAAAAAAATTAGGAATCAGCAAATAGCTGGGACAGCCGGCGGGTCCAGGAGGTCCAGGGAGGGAAGGGGCTGCTGTCTCCCAGTGCCCTGGGGGCCGCCGTCGGCTTCTGTGCCTGGCTCCCTGTGACAGACGTGCCATGTGGCGAGCGGTCCCCGTTTGGGGATTGAATTCCCATCCTGCTCAGCTGACACAAAGCCGTCCCCGGCCCGGGGGGGCAGGGCATGAATAAGTAAACAGCCTTCCCGCTGGACACCTGCCTGGCGCAGACGTCGGGGCTGGGAGCGGCTGGGAGCGGCTGCCGTCCTCGGGGACAGGAAGCTGGTGCTGCCTGGGTGGCCCCGCTGGTCCCCCAGAGCGCTGACCCCGGCCTTCTGTGAGTACCCGCTTTGGGGGCTGGACGAGCGGAGGGTTAAGGAGCCGTGGCTCAGACAACAGGCGGGAAAGTCGGCCCTCACGTTTAAAACCCTCTGTCTTCTTGCTGCAGGCCGACGGCTCAGCGGTCACCTGGGGAGGTTCCTGCCGCTGTTCCGCGGGACCCGCCGTTTCTTAGGTTCTCCGTTCTCTTTGGTTTCTTTGGGCTGGTCTTGCAGGGCACTCATGCGGCCCTTTAACCTAGGAAGCTCTCGTATATCTTACCGGCAGTTTCCGTCACACTCTCTCCCTCTGCAAGCCTGACTCGTAGGCCTTAGGCCTCCCCGATGGATCTTTAAAGTCTTATTTTTTTCTTTTACGCTTTCAGTCACTTGGGGTGACTTCCTGAAGTTTACCTTCCGCACCCGCCACTGAAGTCCCACTTCATCTGAGCAGCGGTCTGCGCGGCCGGCACGCGGTCCCTGGTCCTTCACTGTCCTTGTGCCATCCCCCCCATTCCTGCGGTGTTCCCTTAGCTCGACTGCACCGTCCCACTTCCTCCTGGGTTTTACTTTTATGTCCTTTGATTTTAATCTTCCATGTGGGTTTTTTTTTTTTTTAACGTAGCAGGTAATCCTTACTGGGTTGGTTGGTTCTGGAGCTCGCGGGGTGTCGGGGGCTTGTCCACGGTGACTCCCGCCAGAGTAGTGACCAGGACACTGGGCCTTTTGCTGTGGTGGCCCCTGCGTCACTGTGTGGAAGTCGTTTTGGGGTTATTGTATTTCCAGTCTCCTGCCTAGTTTGAGGGTGCTGTGGAGAAAGGCCCGACTCCCTGCTTTATGCGGGTGGGGGGCTGGGGAGGGTCCCTGTTGTTCCCTGTTTTTCAGTTTGACGCTTCCCGGCCGCGAGCTCCTCCCGCTGCTCCTGGGTCCTGAGCTCTGTCATTAACTGTCTCCAGGAAATACCCCCGACCTCCTGTCTAGACAGCTCCCCTCCCATCTCCTCTCACATCGCTGTAAACCTTATTAAAGTCTCCCTCCAATTGAAATGACGCACGAACGCCGTGGCCTCCACTGTGAGGTGCGGGCCCTGGAAGGACCGGGTGTCGTTGGTGTTTGTGTCTGACGACCAGCAGGCGCTGTGTAGGCCGACAGCGTTGATTGAAATAAGCTGCGTGCTGGCCATGGACTGTTTTTCAGCCCCACGTTCATTAATCTCATCCGTAGCGACGCTTCTGGTCGCCTGCGAGGAAGGGTGTGTGCAGAGCGGGCTGGCTGTTGGCTGTGGTCCCCATGCTGCCCTGTTGCCGTTGGCCGGTGGCCCGTCGTGACGGGACAGGGAGGGGAAATGACCCCCGCACACGTTTCCCCTTGGTCCACGGGGGAACTTGCGGTCTCACTCCGAGGGCCACGTAAGCTGTGCGTCAGGGTGCGTCTCTATTCCTGGATTGTTACACGCTAGGACATTCGGTCAGAGGGAGAGACCCCGCCCGGCAGGGACCGTGAGCTCGCTCGGAGCCCTGTCGCTTGGTGCTGAGAACTGGAAGACGGCAGCGTAGCCCCCGCGTCCCCGGGGTGGACGGTGACAGGAGCAGAAAAGCAGCTCACAGGCCCTTCGTTTGTGACCGAAGTTCGTATGCTTCCTCCCACAGTTTAGAGATGAGCTGTCGTACCTGAAGCCCGTGGGCCCAGGAGACGCGTTTGGTCGGACCCAGCGCTGGGAAGGCCCCTCCAGGAGGCACCTGTTTCCTGCCCTGCGACCAGGAGCCCCGCCGGGGAACTTCGCGGTACGTTGTCCGTTCTTCCTCCTGAGGCCCCGTTCCCTGCGTTGGTCGGGGCTGCGTCCACTTCTTCATTGTTTAGTGGTCTGTTCAGAGGTGTTGGCCAACTGCTGAGTGTCCGTCAGTTAGCCAGGAGGGCAGCGGGGAGGCCAGAGCAGGATGGGGGGCACCAAGGACTCTGCGCGTGGAAAGTGGTTGTCTGGACCCAGACGGGGAGAGGTGGACGGGGCAGGTCATTCAGGACCTCACAGTCTGTTAGAGTATCGATTGTAAGTCGTGAGAGCCATGGCCAGTCCGCAGTGACAGGCTTTAGGTGGGAGAGTGACATGGTCCAAGTCGCCTTCCAGCGCAGTCGCTCTAAGCCCTGTGTGGAGACGGAGGCGGGGTGGTAGCGGGGAGAGCAGGAGGCCACCACGTCACCCAGTGAGGGCAGCGGGGTCCCGGATGGGCATCAGGGACGGGAGCGGAGGGGTCGCTGGAACCGGCGTCATTGTGAGGGACGCGGGGAAGATAGCAGGACGGCATGGGGACCGTGACTTCCAGGTTTAGACGTGGACAAGGCGGCAGAGGGAGGAGCCCCGTTGCCTAAGACGAGAGCGATGGAAGGAACATCGGGTCTGTGGGGAAGGGGTGGATTCCATTTTGCACCGAAACTCCGTTTTGAGTTCGAGTTGCCCCTAAACAGGGAGAAAAGCAGCCGTCAGACGGCCGGGTCCAGAGTTCGGGTGACTCTGGGGCTGGCTCCGTTCCTTTACGCACATTTGGTTTGCGGGCTCCTGTGCGGAGGCACAGTCGGAACACGAGGTGATTGCGGGGGGCGAGAAGGACAGCTGCCCCTTTCTGCCAAGCTTTCCTGTGGCCCGTGGCCGGCCAGGCCCCGGTTGCCGTGGTTGTTAGTCAGACATTTAGAGCATGAAGCAGGTGAGCCAGCTGTCTGGGCGCGGCATTGGGAGTGAACCTGACAGAGACAAAGGGGTCTGAGTCTCATATTCCAGTAAACGTGAAGGGGGGATGGGGATGGTGGAGGTGCTGATGGCAGTGGGGATGGTGATGAAGGGGATGGTGATGAAGGGGATGGTGATGAAGGTGATTTTTATGGCGATGATGGTGATGGTGATGGTAGGAATGGTCCCAGCCATTCAGCAGACTTAAATTCACACCCACTCTTGTGATTTCTAGTTTATATGTTCATTTTCTGTACGGGGAACTCAGCTGTTTCAGATGTAGAATATATACTTGGTAACCATTTGTTTTCAGTTTCAGCCAAAACCCCAAAACCAAAAAACTATCACTTCATCAGTAAAGGCAGGGCCTTCGGGGATGGAGAGATGCCTGGAAAATATCCCCCAACCCCACATCTTTCATCATTTTCAATACAACAGGAGCAGTTCCCCTGATAGGTGTCATTTATGAGAGCAGACGTATTTGCGCGCCCTGAACAGACAGACTGTGTCGTTAAGAACACTTTCAAACAGGATGTGTCTCACTGAGTGATGTGGGTGGCTATTTGCATGTAATTTTTCCAGTTCATTTACTCCCCATGGCCTGGGGACTCAGAAGTCACTCTGTTCTCTCGGGTGCAGGAAGGTTACTAGATGCTTTTATTTTGCTCGCTCTGGGGCTGAAGCTGCAGAGAGGGGTGATGCACGTGTGTGCGAATCTCTCCTATATTTGGAACGGGCTAGGGGTTTTTTTGATAGACTGTTGGCCGCTTTGCAGATGCATCATTAAATTATTGCATTTAAATTTAGCTCTTGTCCTCACTTTGGAAGGGAGTGAATGTTGGAATCATTTCACCGTGAAGGGAAAGCAATCAGACAACATCCTCAGGACTTACGGAAATGGGGTTCCTGGCCCGTGAGTGTCAGGGGCTGTGTGTTCAACTCAGAAGGCCTAGGGAGCTCCTGCAGCCCCAGAAAATTCAAACTGCCTCAAACACACACCTGAGCAGTTGCCAAGGTTGAAGCTCCACGAGGGCAACGTTTTCCATAGAAACCTGCACTGGTCATTCTCCTCAGTACAATGTCACCATCCTCCCAGCGGCCGCCAGGGCCCCTCTGTGTCAACAGCCTGTCAGGTGTTTATTCACAGACCTGAGCTGGAGAAGTTATGTTATCAATGACATTTTCACAGGGGTTGTGAACTTGGGGGAATGTCTTTAAAATCATATTCAGGGGCAACAGAGGATCAGTGGAGTCACACCGTACACAGGTGTGTAAGGTAGAAACTTGTGCCACCTTCCTGTGCCTCACCCATCGCCAATCACTGTTAGCAGTCTGGAGTTTCCCTTCAGGATTCCCAGACCTTTCCCTGTGGGTACACGCACACACGCACGCACACGCGCACACACACACGCACACGCGCACACACACACACACACACACATGCACGCACACGCACACGCACACGCACACGCACGCACACACAATGTCTTCACATGTTATGAGATGCACAGAGAACGCTGGGATGGTGCATTCGTGTGCGTGCACACGTGTGTCCCGTGTCCAGGTGCACACAGACACCCCTCTGCTCCTTTTCAGACTCACTTTCATTACTGGGGCAGAAGACGACATGCTCAGTTTGTGAAAACTCAGGCGTCTTTGACTCTTCCTTCCGCCCAGCTGGCCACTGTCATCCGTTTGGTCTTTCCGGACCTTTGTCTCCATATTGTGTGTACATGTGCACACGCGCGTGATCTTACCACCTGGCAGCACATTATAGGCGCTCGGGCAATATTTGTTGAAACCGGGAATCACTGAGCCGGAAGGAAGTGGACCCCCCAGTGTCCCGGGACTTTGACCCATGCCACCTGCTCGTTCCGTTCACTTGCCTCTTAGACAAGTCGAACGTTCCTTCCTCCTGGGGTTGGCAGGCAAGGACTTAACTCGGTGTCTGAGCTCTCGGGACAGGGGTGGTTACATCTGAACCTTGAGGACAGTCAGAGGGAGAGACCGTGGCCTCTTGGCCTCTGTGGAGAATGTTCTGACCTTCAGCCTGGCGTCACCTACATCCATGGACCAATCCGATATTTCCAGAGTGTCCACCAGGTAACAACCTAGACAGATGTAACCAACCAAACCAAATACAGTCATGAATTTGCTGGAAAAATCGAATCATTTATTAGAAAAATTATAACTTGCATTTTAACTGTGGTTTCATGGTAGTGATAGAGTTTCCTTTCTCAGCATCTTTATGTCCACAAAACACACGTCGTGCTTGTTTGAGGAGAAAGGAGACGAGAATAGTTGGTACCCAGAAACGGCAAACACATGGTGTCTGGGGAACACAGAGGAAATTGAGATTCCAAAACTGAGGCCCTGATAACCTTAGGTGCAACCTTGGGAGCTGTGGTCAGACAGGACCTGAGCTCCAGGGCTGCGGTCAGACAGGACCTGAGCTCCAGGACGGCGGTCAGACAGGACCTGAGCTCCAGGGCTGCGGTCAGACAGGACCTGAGCTCCAGGACGGCGGTCAGACAGGACCGTCTGCAGGTTCCAGGCTCACGTCTGTCCGCTCAGGGCCTCAGGACAGGCTGTCTCCGCATAATGTCATTTGTGTGAAAATGTCGAGTTCAAACAGCTCTTAATGTCATTATCCTTCATGACTAAAGCAATTATATATTTTAAATTCCATTTTGTTTGTCCCCCCCCCCTTTTTTTTTAAGTAGACGAGTCAAAATGGAAAGGGCTCTGTTGATATCAAAGTCTTAGTGCCAATTACAGTCACACACTCCTCGGTGCTGCCCTGACCCTGTCGGGAAGCGCCCGCGGGCCGGGCAGGATCGGCTCCCTGTCTGCATTCAGGGCAGGAAGGAGCAAGAGAGCGCAGGTGTGTTTGGCAGGCGCTTTGGAAACCGCTGTGAGACTCAGACGTTCAGCTCTGGTATCAGGGACTTCGTAGCGTCTGTTTTTCTCTGGTCTCTTGGCAAAGCCAGGCCCTGGAATGTGCTCGACTTTCTCTGTTCTGTGGAGGCTGCTGGTGTGACTGTGCCCTCAGAAAGGGCTCGGGCTTGCTGTGCCCTGTGCCCGTGTGTTTGTCAGGGCTCTTGAGCTTGCTGATGACAGGAAACCAGCTCCAACTAGATTAAACAGAAAGGGGGCTTCACCGACTGGTGTAATTGAAGAGAGAGGAGTGTGGCGTCAGGAACGGCTTGATCCAGGAGCTCAAGCAATGTTTCGGGAATCTCAGTTTCCTCTGTGTTGGCTGCGGTTGTAACCAGAGTCCCTTCATCGTGCATGTAGGGTTCACAGACCTGCTGCCGTTTTTCTGTTGCTTGACGCGTCTACAGTTCTAGGCTCAAAAAATCACGTGAAACTTTAAACTTTCCTTGCTTGGGCTTCCTACTTTTCACTCATGAAAAGGATCCCCCCGAAGTCTATCACCCTAACGCTCATCTTTTGGAAGACCCATTTCCCGGAGCCTTGTGATCAGGATCAAGGGTCTGTTGTTGTTATTAATCCTCACGGGAGGATATTTTTCCCATTGATTTTCAGAGCAAGTAGAAGGGAGGAGGTGAGGGGGT